ATAACTATTAACCATTAATGATAGTAAACTACAAATTAAGTTATTTCAATATACCATCAGTTATTAAAATAAATAACCCAATAAATATTTCCAAAAAGTATTTTTAAAAATATATTTAAAAAAACCTATATAGAGCATTTATAAAATCTCTTAGCTTGTCAAATGTGGATCGACGATTTATCGTATTGGACGTTCCATTTTCATCGTAGCCCAGCAACTCTAGTTTTTCTTCAAACAAAAAGACCCGCGATATTAAACTGTCTACTATTCGAAAGTAAAATTGAAAAATTATTCTCTTATTAATATTTAAATGTATCCAAAAAAGAAAAGAAGTTTTATAATATCGTTAAATATATCTTCCGCTTTTGTGAAAGATTTAATCTTTTCAGCTTTTCGAAAAACTTTGAATTGTAGAATACCAGTGTTCTTCTTTTGATAAAGAAAATAAAAACTCCCAGTTTCATATCCTTGATTTCTATAATCTAACTATCAATTCTTAATTCTTATAATACCTAATAGCTTAAAAGAATTGTCTGAGTTTATTAAAAAAAAAACTGCCAATTTGGCGAGATTTTTCCTCTAATGTTGTTCATCTAACCTCTTTCAGCAAAGAAAATAAAAAAGCCGCTATTTGAGTACATATGAAACTCGGAAAAATGTTTTACTTTTAAACTGCGTATACTTATCCTTCACTAAAGATAGAATACATTTAAAAACTAAAATGGAGAAATGTCTTCAATATTTTTAAAAAAAAGAATACGGAATTTTTTTTAAATAAATCGTTATCTGTTAATATTTTTCTCCTAGACAAAATCATTAAAATAAATCAATAATCGCGAACTTTGTCACGTTTTTATAACCCAACCGTTAGAGTAACTTTTCAAGTATTAACAAATATGATAGCTAAGACTGTTCCTTTTCGCAGAATAAGCGTAAAAGTTTTTCATTTCTACTTCGACTTTTTTGCATAAGTTTCATAATTGGGTAGTTGCATTTCAAGAAGACCACAGATACCCACACATGTGACCTATGACATCAGCGCCAGCTGTTCCTTTATAAGCAAAATGGCGTGTTAAAGTTGTGCTATGTTTCTTCACATAAGTTAGAATGTTAATTAACATGACATTAACTAAATATAGAGCCGTATCGAACATTGAATTTGTTTAAATATAATTATTTTCTGTCTAATTCTTTTAGATTTATTATTTGTTGATGTACTTTACTGTAACCGTGATATATTTTTGTTTTGTGTAACCGGCAACTTCGATGCATAATTAGTTTGCTTATGCTCTACTTGGCTTTGCGCCTGTCTTTGAGTTAAGTAAGAAATATATAGTGAAAGAATTGATACTTGACGGGATTGGCTTACTCGAAATAGAATGGATAGAGTAGATGCTAACGTAAACAAATGCCATGTTTCAACAACCAATAAAGATCTAGATACCCACACTACGTCATTTGCAGGTATCCCATTTGCAAATAAATAAAAAATAAAAATAAAAACACAAGATAGAGAAGAATATAAACACAAGATAGAGAAATAAATGAGCCTCAGATACTTATTCGTGAAATAATTTTAAAAAATAAATATAAAATATTAATAAAATAAATATAAATACAAGATAGAGAAATAAATGAGCCTCCGATACCTATTCGTGAAACAATTTTAAAAAATAAATATAAAGAATAATAAAAAATCAAAGTAAATGCAAGATAGAAAAATAAATGAGCCTCCGATACCTATTCGTGAAATAATTTAAAAAAATAAATGTAAAAGAGTAAATGAAAAAATAAATATAAATACAAGATAGAGAAATAAATGAGCCTCCGATACTTATTCGTGAAATAATTTTTAAAAAAATAAATATAAAATAATAATAAAATAAATATAAATACGAGATATAGAAATAAATGAGCCTCCAATACTTATTCGTGAAATAATTTTAAAAAATAAATGTAAAGAATAATAAAAAAATTAAAATAAATACAAGATAGAGAAATAAATGAGCCTCCGATACTTATTCGTGAAATAATTTTAAAAAATAAATGCAAAAGAATAAATGAAAAATTAAATATAAATACAAGATAGAGAAATAAATGAGCCTCCGATACTTATTCGTGAAATAATTTTAAAAACTAATCATAAAAGAATAACAAAAAATTTACTATAAATACAAGATAGAGAAATAAATGAGCCTCCGATACCTATTATTCGTGAAACAATTTTAAAAAATAAATATAAAGAATAATAAAAAATAAAAATAATGACAAGATAGAGAAATAAATGAGCCTCCGATACCTATTCGTGAAATAATTTTAAAAAATAAATGTAAAAGAATAAATGAAAAAATAAATATAAATACAAGATAGAGAAATAAATGAACTCCGATACTTATTCGTGAAATATTTTTAAAAAATAAATGTAAAAGAATAATAAAAAATTAAAATAAATACAAGATAGAGAAATAAATGAGCCTCCGATACTTATTCGTGAAATAATTTTAAAAAATAAATGCAAAAGAATAAATGAAAAAATAAATATAAATACAAGATAGAGAAATAAATGAGCCTCCGATACCTATTCGTGAAACAATTTTAAAAAATAAATATAAAGAATAATAAAAAATCAAAGTAAATGCAAGATAGAGAAATAAATGAGCCTCCGATACCTATTCGTGAAATAATTTAAAAAAATAAATATAAAAGAGTAAATGAAAAAATAAATATAAATACAAGATGGAGAAATAAATGAGCCTCCGATACTTATTCGTGAAATAATTTTTAAAAAAATAAATATAAAATAATAATAAAATAAATATAGATACAAGATAGAGAAATAAATGAGCCTCCGATACTTATTCGTGAAATAATTTTAAAAAATAAACATAAAAGAATAACAAAAAAATTACTATAAATACAAGATAGAGAAGAAGAATAAAAAATTAAAATAAATACAAGATAGAAAAATAAATGAGCCTCCGATACCTATTCGTGAAATAATTTTAAAAAATAAATATAAAAGAATAATAAGAAATAAATATAAATACAAGATAGAGAAATAAATGAGCCTCTGATACTTATTCGTGAAATAATAGCACTTTTACAATAGCAATAAACTTTTAAGAATTGTAATTGCCTTAATCGTTACAAGATTTTGTATGAAGTACCTATGAAATTTTTAATTACTGTTGAGGAAAATTTAAAAGCATTAAAAATCATTTTGGAAAACATTTAAACTTCTGATTGCCAAACGTCTTTTCTAACTAATTATTCAAAAATCTAAAAGAGCAATTAAGATGATAGTTACAGGAAGAAAACGAAATTAAATTGTTTCCATTTAATGAGGGTTAAGTTAATTAAAACTTTGCTTCAGATATTTTACCGATTATAAAGATTCCTTATTTTTAAAAATAAAGGAAAAAAGAATTATTTGAAAGAATGTGAAAGGAAGAGAGGCATTTTGTTAGAAAACATTAAGAAACGCTTACAGCTTGCAATTTCATGACTCCTTAAAAATGCATAATTAATTGAATTTATAATTAAAAATCAAGAAAGAACTTTTAAGGGAACTTTTCGCGGTTTAAATATTTCCTTAAAATAAAACTGCTACTAAACATGCATTTCTGATTTATACGGTTTTCGTTAACAGGGTTTTGTGGATATGTAAGTTTTTATTTGCTGAAACATTTATTGTGTTATTAAATTTAGAAAAGAAATTCTTTAAATTTATGCTCATTAATAAATCTATAGTTATGCATCTACAACTCAGATATTAACCGTTATACGAATTCGTTAATTTATCATGTTTTCGAATGTTAGAATGAGAATTTTTTTTTGTAAAATTACCGTACTTAACGGTAATAACATTTCTAGTTAGAAGAAACATAATTCTAGTTATAAAAACCAAAATATAAAAAATTTAAACCAATCATTTGGGATTTTTTTCCTTTTCATATGGTAAAGATTTACCGGAAAATATGATTTTTAATATTAGAATTCTTATTACCTCACTTTCAGTAAAATATACAAAACTGAAAAGTAAATTTCATCAAATAAATGGTTTTAATGCCATGCTGTAAGTTAATATGATATAATTACTAAATTTTACCAATTTGCATGGTAGTAAAACCATATTTTACTGTTATTTTTATAATATTTTAAACTATATTTTATTATTAATTATTATTACTATGTCATTGATAATTTTTATATTGTTAATAGTATCAATTTATTTTTTGTTAATTTTTTTATTCTTAATTTATAATTGTTTATTTGGTAAAGTCATGACCAAAGAAATTCGGGAAAAAAATACCAAGATTTTTGGTATTCCCATACAGCCCGAAACACGGTAAATTTTACCATATTCCGGTAGTTTTGACCATACTTTTTTTCTCAGTGTAAACGTTATCATTTGTTTAATTGTTTAAGTCCAAGTTTAAGTTTGATGATTTTATTGTATATATATAACAAGGATTAAAACAGGTCTTAGGCAGGGAAGGAGGGTACAAATTTTTTTAATTAATTAATAGACAGAGAACGTTTATCAAAGTGGTCACGAAATGTTGTGCTCCTCAATATAAGTTAGGGAAAATCTTGCAAAGTAAATCCGTAAAATGTTTCATTTTAGGGAATAAGGGAAATCTTATTGTAATTAGTTTATCAAATAGGTCGCGCGATTCCCACAAAGAGCAGAGGGAAAAAAGTCTTACTTTTAATTAATGCATACTTGAGCCGAAAATAGATTAAAGGACAGGATGTGACTTTGAAAATGTGAGAAAGCGTTTTGTTTTGAATAAAAATTAGGAAAAGGATTTACAGAAAAGGAATAACACAAAAAGATTAATTGAAGCTCAGTTTTTGGGGTTGAAAAAATGAATTTTTAGAGCTTGATCTACTAAACTTTATTTTTACCTGTATCATTTGGATGCTTTTAAATGTGTTTCGTTAATTATAATTATAAATTGATATTGTTTATTTATGTTTTAATGCATTTTTTTCAGCATACACTTATGACAGAAATTCGAGCTTTAGTTCCTGCCGGGGATCTTGAAAAATTTGATGAGCTTATTTACCGGAGAGAAAGACTACCAATCAAAGTAAGTTTCTTTGATAATTTGTCCTGAAACACTTCTGTGTTACGAATAACTTCCTTCTTCCAAAGTATTGTTTACAACAGCGATTCCTAATTTTTTCGATTCTGGAATACTAAACAGTCAATCTTTTGGCAAAAACCCCGAGATTTAATGAATAAATTTCATCAGCATTTTTAAATATAATTATTAACGGGAGGCAAATAATTATTTTAAAAATATGTAATGAACTAAATTCTATTAGTTATTTAGAGAATGAGTGAAGAATTAAATCGAATTACTTCTTCGTTATTCGAATATACGTGTTACGAATTCCTTCTTTCTTCCGAAGTATTGTTTACAGCAGCGATTTCTAATTTTTTTCGATTCTGGAATCGTAAATGGTCAATCTTCTTTTAGCGGAAAATCCCGAGATTCAAATCCGCTTTAGTTACAAAAAATTCCATGACAATTCAATTGCTATGATTATTTGACAAGGAGTTCAAGTAATAGAGATTTCAAAATATGAGGGCTACTTCACGTACCGATGCTATTTAATAACAGATCTATAAGTTTACTATTATACCAAGTATATAGGCCAACTCTATTCTTTAGTTCATGTCAATTGCAATTTATTATCTTTCCAAAGCTTGAAATTGAAACCTTCATTTGAAATATTCTAGTTCCCATTCTTCTAAGAGGATTACGATGTCCCAATGACAGGAAGTTATCCTTGTCCGAGTTTCTCTTTTTATCATCTAGAAGAGTTCTTGACAGTTTTATCTTTCTGAGTCATAGATTGAATGTATCGATACTCCATTTTTTCTTCTTCAAAATACTTGTTTTTTTATATATATACGCTTGGAATTTATTGATTTTCTTTCCATATTCTGATGCTCATATACTTTCGGGTCTTAATTAATTGTTTCCTGAAAACTATCAAGAAGAGTAATATTAGAAAGCGAATTCATTAATGTGGTTTGTTTCTGAAGAGACAATAATAAAAAAATAATACGCATAAAAAATATTTCATTCTTGCATTTTTACTATAAAAAATAAAGCAATTAATTATTAAGATTGTGATTCTTAAAGAAAATTAATTAAGGTATTATGTGTGTTACATATCATTAAAAAAATAGTTTAATGAAAAAGGAAGCAGATTATTTTCAGCGCTTACGCTTGAGTAACGTCTCAGAAATGTTCAATAGAGAGTTTTTTTTTTAAATTCAATACGATACAAAGGCAAAGCATCAATGTAATTTTTTTCATTTGTTCGCCTATATTTCAAGATGATTCAGCTTTTTTTAAAAAATAAATTTTAGCAACTATTTTTGTCGGAAGAAGGCGATTGTGCGTATAATATAAATAATAATATATAATGTTTTAATATAGCCATCAATGATACTTAATAGTATGAAAAGTGAATAAAGAAATAAAAAGAAGAAAAAGGAAGAAATAAACTGAATGAATAAGCAAGTGGATTATTTGCGAATGATTGAATGGAAAAATTATTGAATTGACGAATCAGTAAATTGTCAAATGAAGAAGACAAAGGACGAGTCAGTGAATTTAACATGACGCTGAGTGAGTGTATCATTCATATGGCATCGTGAGTGAGTGTATCATTGAATGGGCGAATCTGTTTGTAAATAAGTCAGTGATATTACTTTATTTATTAAAAAAATTCTTGATTTCACAAATTTCTGTATCTAACACATTATAAATTTTAAAACATGAAATCATATCCATTTCGATTTTCTATTGTTATTTTATTGCAGATCTAATGAAGTGATATGCTATTTTCAGAACCGATTCCGTTTTGAAATGAAAAAGAAATTAAGCATTAATTACTACAGATATAAATTATCTGAAAGCAAAAAAGGCAACTCATTACAAGTGTGTCATTTTTTCTTAGAAGTGCGTACTTTCAACGTAACACTGGCTTTCCTATTAAGAGTGACTTAAAAGAAAGTCAGACAGCGAGTGTACTTAAGAGGGCGTCAGAAATGAGAGGAAGTCATACAATGAGTTAACATATAAGAGGAAGTCATACCGCCAGTGAACTAATGAGAGTACGTCTGACAGCGAGTGAACTTAAGAGGGCGTCAAAAATGAGGGTTCTCCATTCAGCGAGTTAACTTATATGGGGAATTCATACAGTGAGTTAGCATATAAGAGGAAGTCATACCGCTAGTGAACTAATAAAGGTACGTCAGACAGCGAGTGAACTTAAGAGGGCGTCAAAAATGAGGGTACGTCATTCAGCGAGTGAACTTATATGGGGAAGTCATACAGTGAGTTAACATATAATAGGAAGTCATACCGCCAGTGAACTAATAAAGGTACGTCAGACAGCGAGTGAACTTATAGGAAGATGTCATAAAGCGAGTGAGCTTACAAGAGGCCTTCAGGAAAGCGAAACCTTTCATGGTAAATTCTGTTTTACCTACATTAGTAATTTAAAACTTAAAGTGTAGAAGTTATGAGTTCTGGTAAACCATTTTGTTTCAAAGTCAACAATTTCTTTCAGACTTTGAATTGCAGACAAAATTTCTCGGTATTTACGCACTGGGGATGAAATTCTGGCAAAGTCAATTTTACCGACTGGCATGAAAACTTTAGGAAAAATCATCTATACTCAATATTATGAAAAAAATTTTCAACTACAAACTTGCTTTTTCACGTGAATTTAAAAATTAAGAAAGAAAAAGGGAAAAAATAATTATGGTTGTTGTTAACTGTAAATACATAAACTTTTGCTTTTATTTATTTTGAAAATTCATTCCTTTATACATTGATTCAACTATTTATTTTAACTTTGATGCACTGATTTGCACAGTTGTAAGCAAATATATTCAGTGACTGACTTTTTCACTAATACGCTGATTCAAAGAAATCACCGTCTCACAGACAGGCTGACTTATCAAATCATTGATTCATTTAATTCACTTCCTTTGGTGTTACTTTTTCTTATCAAATATAGTAATGGTTGTTATAACAACGCTTGACATCAAAACGTAAATCTAACATAATACAGAGATGCCAACTTGCTCCGGACAGCAAATATATATTTTAAAGTGGTAGTTTATCAATTGTGATTCTTGACTTAATAAATTCAAATTAGTAGATTTTTATCCACCACTATTTCTAAATAATTCGTTGGCTTATATAAATCACCACTTTATAGTACTTACGTCATGATACGCCTTTTTAAAAGCAAGCAAAAATAGTCAAATATTTGCAACATTTACTTTGTTGTTATTTACCGTTTTTTTAATTATTTTGGCGTGTCCGGAGCAGTTGGCATCTCTGATAATATGCTTTTCAAATTGAAATTGAAATTCTGAAAAAGAAAAAAAAAACGTTAAGACAAATTTGCAAAGTACTTAAAAAATGACATAATATAAAATTAATTGACGAAAGACAAGGAAAAAAATAAACGGTCGTTATAGTATAAGAAAAAAGTAAATGACAGTTGTTCTTTTGAATCACGTTTGCTGTAGTCAATATTTTGGTCTCCTAACTAATGTATGGGTTTACATACCTAAAATTATTTCAAGAGAGTTTTTTTTTCGAAAAAAATTGGTTAAATGATAGATAAGGAATCTATATTATATAAAACGCTAATACGTACGTATGTATGTATGTATGTATCAATAAAACCGATGATATTTCTTTTCTCGCGCTGGCAACAGTTTTCATTTTTAATTGATTGGATTCGGCACGCAAGAGCACGTAGTGAGAAACCAGATAACAATAACCAGAGTGAGCATTATAAGGTTGTTCAATTCAGATTTATGCACTGAAAACATGACAATATTTAATTTCAACTCAATTAGGAATTAATTAATTAATTGAAGTGAGAATGCTTTAAAAGGCCGCTGTTGAATTGATATTTTTCTACTGGGAGCTACCTAAACGTCTAAAAAACGTTTAAAGGTCTGGTTTCTTAGGACAAGCGCTTTATCTGGGCGTCAGCGGGACGTCAACGTCACGCTGACGCCAACAAAATACTGGTTTGTTAGCTCAAGGCCTGGTTTCTTAGAACTAGCGCCTTATCTGGGCGTCAGCGGAAAGTTGACGTAGATGTGACGCCAAAAAAATACTTTTTTGTTAGCTCAGCATGAGCAGTCGGTCCAACGCAGACATTATCTCTCATTGCGCATGCGTTAATAACGTAAACAAATATTTATTTTGAATTTGTATTGATTTTGTTATTGTCGACCAGTGTTTTAGAGAACAAATAATGACTTTGTCCAAGAAAAAACACATTATAGCTGAGCTAAATGAAGAGTGCTATATTGAATAAGATAGCTATGT